GTAGCAGTATTTCCTTGTTCTGCCCACTTAGAACACCTGGGGGCAGCAATCTTCCAGTAGCAAATAAACACACCTAGTGCCCAGATCTTGTTGCACATACCATTTCCTGTAAAAAGGAAGTTAACTGATTCCAGAGCTACATAGCAAAACCACAAGACAAGCTTACAAAAGTTTGTTGTGCAAGGAAATAAGGAAAGTGATCCAAGAAAAATGGGGATGTGTCAAAAAGATACAGGCACCAGCAGGAATGAGGCTTCCACTCGGAAAATCAGAGACAATAATCATCATAGAAATGGACTCTATCCCACTAAATAGAATAAGGATTCATAAGTTCATACGGATAGAAATAAATGAACAACCAAATGAGAAGAGAAGGTGCTTTTCAGTGTTGAGCAATTATTACTAAGACGATGGATTACTGTGATTGCCAAACCGCGGTTTTCTTAAATCCTTGTCACCTAATAAATGTAGAAAAAATGACTGTTAGAACTCATTGGTTTCGGCAAGAACCATCGATGAATGCTGAAACAGGTGGGTAAAAGTTTGACGAGGAACAAGATATTGTTCCGAAGCATCTCTCCTTCAAATATATTTATTCATGACAAAGAGGACAAGCGTAAACATCACAATGGAGAAACATGGCCAATGCCCCTCTCTTCAGGGAGCTCACCAGTAAGGAGATGGGCACTGCGTACCACCTGGCAGGACGTCGTCAGGGTATGGCATGCTAGCTAGGCTACTCCTGCAAGCGTCCACCATCTGAACTTCACCATAAGAAGCACGGCAAACCTGAATGGAGGGACTCTGAACAGAGTTAACTAGTCTGTATGAATCAACACTGAAAAGTCTTCAAGGTCAAAGAAAACCCGAGGAGCCATTCCAGACTGAAAAAGACACCGAAAAAAAGAAAAGAAAACACGGCAATGAACTGCAAGCTAGTCAATTCCTTCCCTCTACTGGAGTTGTGGGGACAAGTGGAAGCCTCCCAATGGGGTCCGTAGATGGGCCAGTTTATACTGTTTGGTGATTTTGACCCTGTTCTGTGGCTATGTCTGAGAACGACCTGGTTTGTAGGTCATGGGCAGTAGAATAGTCAAGGGTAATGACTACATCTGTAACTTGTTCTCTGATGACGGGGGGTGGGGTGTGTGTGTGTGTGTGTGACAAAAGGCAAGTGATGGAACGGAGAGGAAAAGCCCTGCGCTGGAACAGAAGGCCGAGGTCTGGGAGAGGAGTGAGACAATGCCAAGAAAGGGGGGTGGAAGAGAGGGGGCGGAGAGAATCTTCAGAACTGGAATGCACAATTCAACGTGAAATGATTGGTGGAATGATATCATTAGGGCTCAGACCTTAAACCCTCAACCAAGCCAGTCAGTCAGTCTGTCTGTCTGCCGATCTCTCTGCCATCTCTCTTTCTCTCCCCACCCAGCACTTTGGGAAGTGAGGCAGTTAGGGGTTTCCCACAGGGAGGAGCAGTGTAGGGGGAAATGGCACTAAGAATGATGAATCACAAGGAGAGCAAGAATTCAGAGGAAGTAGATCTTTGCGGCTCTCGGTGACTCTGGGCCATCTCAACCCTCCACAAATTGCTTGCAATAGTAGGGGTCATGATCCCCTAAGTCTTAGGTTAAAAGAAGACCCCAATAAGTTGGAAAATATGCAGATAGCCAAGAAGCTAACACAGGGGAAAAGTTTAAAATTAACATTAGAAATAGGAAAGGCAATTAAAATTATTACTGATGAAAATGCTATGATTAACTCTTTCATTCTTTGGGAAAATGCACAGTATTTTAAAAAAGATATCTTGCGAGAGATTCTTTTCAAAACTATTAGATGAACGGAAAATTGCACATAAAAACAAACAAAAAAATCATACCACACTTACCAGCTGAACATCCGGATGCACATATTGCTGGATAGCTCTTAGAAATGCAGCTGGGTTTTCTTGTACTTTTACGCTACATAAAAAAAGATTAACTTTGGAGCTGTAGCAATCCCCTTCCTTGTAGAACATAATCATGTGGCATTAGAAATAACACAGATGGATTTTCACACCAAATGAGTCATTTTAGGAATAAGTCAATAGAGAAAAAATTTAAACTTTGGGGTCCAAAATGATTTCTCCTATTAGAAGGTGTGCTGAAAATTACTTTTAAATCATATATTCACTAGCTTAAGAAATAGAAATTGGTAGAAAACAGAATTTTTTCTCAATTGAACGGAGCGCTGACTATTAGTAATCTTATGTTTTAAAATGGGGCTGAAAGAGAACTTGTGAAATTCAAAGTCTCATGATATCAAGTGCCTGGAACCAGGCATGGGTTAAGCCAGGGTTACGAGTTCATGAATACAGAATCAACACGGGGATTTTAAAATAAAATGCAATCATCATCATACTAATGAGACCACAAAGTCTAACACGACAGGCTAAGCAGCATGATTCAGAAAACATAAATTTATTCTGTCAGCTTCTCTGGAGGGTGGGGTTTGATTCCTTCATCCATCTAGGCAGCAAACCTGTATTGCCTACTCTATAACCCTGCACCCAAGAATGGACATACAAGTCTAGTTTCTTTATGAAGGAGCCCTGGAGATAGAGCTCAGCAACAAACCAAAGGGTCAGTGGATTGAACCCACCAGCCGCTGAGTGGGAGAAAGGTGTGTACTCTGCTTCCCTAAAGATGGACACATACGGTCCTTACAGGCATGTGTGCACGGCCCGCAGCAGGGCGAGCCTAGTGATGGGTGAAATGAAAGAGAGAGGAGAGAAACTAAGGGTTGGAGGAAAGGTAAACTATTGGGGCATTTGATTCATAGTGTAAAACTGTTGACTACAAAGTAGATGAAATGGAAACCCCCACTTAATTTACAAATAGAAAATTGTTATAAATAAATGAACGCCTGAATGGTCCTGACTTTTCCAATCCAGTCTCTTACGTGCGGGTTCCTCACACAACCAGGGTTTGTTTGTTTTTTTTTAAGCTAAGAGGCACTATATATATAAA